TAAAAAAATTCTTTAAAAGTCTATTTAAAACAATTTGGATTATGTGAAAAGCAAACAGAGACTTCCAAATATAGCAGAGGTGGCATCAGGTACCACGTAGGAGCGAGCATCCCCTGCCGACCAATCACGCCCGCCGTGTGTTCTTTGTGAAGATTTGGAGAAAAATTCCGTAGACAATTCATTAAATGGCCTAACTGTAAATATTAAAACGTAAATACATATTCATCGTAATTGTTTGATTTACGCCTAAGGTAGTACGATCCTTAGGTTCCTTAAATCAGGCTTAAATAATTGAAAATCTTCATAAAAAAGCCTTGAATTCTCCAAGTAATGTGTAGAAATTCTTAAAACTTCATCATAAATGTTAACCATATGATTCATATCATATAAAGAAATAAGTAAATCTAATATATAGGGATCAGTAACTTTGAAATTCTTATCGAAAATTGAAAAACAGATTCAGTAGGACTAAAAAAATATAGGTATCAAGGCATTTGAATAAAATTGCATGATTTGTAGACTTAAACGATACTACTTGTTTTCTGTTTTCTTCAGTTATTTTATGATACATAGTGTTTAAAGGGCTTTCTTTCATAATGATTGCAAAACACAATAATACATTTCTTATCTCATACATTTGTAGCAAGAGTTTCTTAAGGAGATTAAAAGAGATTAAAGGAAACTGTCAAATGTATAATTTGATAGATACTTTATGAGGTACAAACATCAGCTTTAATAAGACCGTCTTTAAAACTTCAATGAACATGAGATCACATCAAGTTGGTTAAAATGAAAATTGTTGCTTGAAAGATTTTAATTGCAAAATTGCATTTTTAGACTTCCTGAATAACATTATAAAGATTCTTAAAGAGTTGAAAAAAAAACCCGGGCGGATCAGATAATTTTTTTTTTTTTTTTTTTGCTGACAAGGTCATTGTATTAATCATTAAACTTGCGAAATGATGACCTGAAATTTGACTGTTGATAGCCTTGTTTCAATACCTTATCAGTATAGTGTGCCATGTTAAGAAATAATCTTAAGTAAGTATATTATTGCGTCTCGAATATACTGAATATAGATACATAAGTAAGAGAATTTGACGAATGAAAAGTTGAAGTTATGACTTTCGTCATGAAGCTTTTTTGTTTGGTTACTACTAACGTCTTTTTCTAGTAAAATGTCCAAATACGAAACAGATGTGTCAGACCCTGTAGCATCTTCTATTTCCAGCTTACTAAGATATATCGAGTCGACATATGAATGGAGGTAACTTTTATCAATTAATAATATTTTGAAATAGCGAAATTGAAATGTCGAGATAAAAGCCACAGCAAGTGTCCTCCTCTTATTATTTGAATTGTTGAATGAATTCTGCTTTAGATGAATACATAACCAGGTTACATAAAAAGCAGTCGTAACATTTTTGTTACTTCCAAGTCCATTCTTAAGGAGCAACAACTTAATCGTTAGTCAGATTCAAATGATTATGGTGTCTATTATCGTCAAGGCTGACAGAATATTAAAGCAGCCTCTATTATGTTATGCGTCATAGTAGTGCACTGGAAGGGTCTATTGATGGAGAAAACAATTAAGCATGCATTAAATGATAATCATTTTCGTTTCATTTGCCAAGAAAGTTTATGAGAAGGTTACCTCCAAATATTTAAAATAATTCTAAAAATAATCATGTTTAATCTTTAATAATTCGCATAGATCTGTTGTTATAATACCTTTTATCTCAAATTTTTGTGAAAGTATAAACTCATACATAATTGATCCTTAAATACAGTGTAAAATGATATGGCGTACCTCTTTCTTAACAGTTTTTTTTATATAAAATAAATTATGACATTGTTTCAACAGTGTTTGACTTAAATTTGTGGTAATGAAACATGGAGGTAAGAACAGTTTTCAAGATCCATAAAGTATAATGCCTCACATCACCGAAAAATGGACATTCCCTATTCTGAAAAAAGTATGTTAGTTTTGCTGCTTTAAGAGTTAAAAATGTCAATCATTTTGAATGTCGGTATCAGCTATCAGACTAGGAAAATCTTTTGATGTAAATCTTTTGCAATTAAATGATTGAGGTTGTGAAATGGCTCTGAAAATGAAATGACTATTTTTTAAAGATCATAAGTCCTGACACATATACATACTTGTTTATGTCTTCTTTTTTTTTAAGTTTTCTAATGTATTTGCTACAGAAGAGCATTTATTGAGGTGAGACCCCAGGAGTCTAGGAAGGAAAAATTCCTGAAAGAAAGTTAAACAGGAATGCAATCTTAGAAATTGAATTCCTCTTCAGAGGAATATAAATGCAGCTAGGTTGTTATTTTAACACAATATATTCCAATTGTAATTTAATAGTTTATAGTAAGTTCTGGACTCCAGGATTATACATGTAGATATGTTGTCGATAAGGAACTTCAAAATTTTTCCAGATATTAATTACAGAATCTGTAATGGCCACTTTCAAATTTGATTTCTGTTTCTCTTGAATCTTTGGTGTTTTGTTTTTAGAATCCTTATTTGATTTAAATTATTTCTATAATGCAAAATATAAATGTACACAATAGAGAACAGGAGTACGACTATATAAACAAACGGACACTTTTCACCAGAAAAGCTTAATTGGCATTCACTACGGTAGATGTAAAATGGTTCAGCCTCCTTTGCAATCAAGTAAATGCAACAGATTTGTTTACTGCATCAATCCATTTTTGATCATAATCATCAAACTGAATTATACATGTAGTGTTTCTAGTCTTATTTCTTCCTGTTGTTGCATTCATCAAGGAAACATTTGAAGTTTTATTTTTGTGAGAACTATATATATTATTCTATGTTTCCCCTAACCCTGGCATTCAAAAAATAAAAACACAAGTGGTACTTGTGTCAAAATGAAAACAAAATGAAGAAACAAAAATGTTCGATCTGAATAAAAAATACAAAAAGTGCAATCATGTGAAAATGATAGAATACATAATCCCCTGGCAATTCCAGAAGTGAGATCAGACGACTTATGTCTTAATATAACGTCAATAATATTTAATCAAACTTCCATTTTTTTAAATGGCACATCATTCACAGTTGTATTTTGAAAAATTTTCGAACGTGATAACAATCAGTATATCAAAATCAATTGAATATTCTACATCAACGAGTATGAACCATTTCTTAACTACAATAAGTTAAATAATATTGTATAATTTCTCAATATCGACCATTGAGTTCCTGTTAGTACACTTATTTCTTTAAAAGTATGTTAATGAATTTTTCATTCAATGAAAGTTACGTCACAAAACTTCTCCAAAGCAATGAATGAGTTAAAGGATTTCCACAATATTGATCGGTGACTTCCTGTTAGTACACTAATTTCCTTTAAAAATATGATTTTTTATTCAATGCAAATTACGTCAAAAATGTTCTCTAAAGCAATGAATAAATATAAAACGATTATATATGGTTGTCAAGAGATAATCATAACCAAAACATAAATTGATTGTGATCCACAGAAAAAAAAACTGGTTGTGAGTGATTTAAAGTGTCAAATGATTGAACATATAAGAAATCTTGATGGATGAATCGATGAAATGGAGCAGTTGGTTATAGTTTTACTGCATTGCTACATACATAGCTGTATCACCGGGTCTGTGAGGCAGATTAGATTGTTTAGAGTTTGTTCGACGAACACTTTTTTTTGGTTGAGTCATCTTGATGTAGTCATCTACCATATCATCATCAGACCCCTTTGACTTTGTGTCCACTGATTTTCCATGTCTCTGATTCTAAAGATGCAAATTTATTTTTCATTATCTTCAAACATAAAGAATTTTAATTATCCCATTTAGCATTAATTAACTAGAGATGATATCAATAAGCAACATTGATATTTAAAATTTCCAATTACATTAACGACAGGGAATTAGTAATGACATAAACTTATGATTTCTGCTTCAAAAACAGTGTAGAGCAATCTGTATCAAAACGTATTTAAAACAAATCCCTATCTTTAAGCTTAAAAAATCGTATTTTATTTTAGTGTAACATGTTTACACAGAACCAGATTTATTATACCTCGTAAAAATGTGAACTGGAGGAAGTGTCTGTGACGTCGTGGATATAAAAATTAGAAGTTGCATTAAATTCTGTAGGTTTTCTAGACAATTCTTGGTCATCATTAAAATTAAAGGTCCCTTTAGATGATCCTGAATTTTCTGCTGTAGAATTCCTGGTAAGAAAATTTTCATAAGAAGATCACTCCACTAGAAGTTCCAGAGAAAAGCTGAGTGTTATTTATAATCTTCATTTCTCCTGACAAATCTAGTGATATTTATAAGAATACAAAGAAACGAGATATTTTGTTTCTAATAATCAAACATCTATTTGTTCCTTGAAAAACATTAGGATTATTCATAAAATTATTATGTCGTTATTGGCTTTCAACTCAGCATTGTAAATAAACATAAAGTACACTTTCAAAGTTAATGGTAAATATTTGTTCACAAAAATGACTTTCAAAGCATACTTTGGTGTCCTCTTGTGCCATTTGAAACAAACAAAACCCATGATAAGCATTCCAATCAGTAGACCACAGCCCCCAGATCCTGAGAGAACTAGCCAGAAGGTATGATTTTAAAGAAAGTCATTGTATGAATCATCATGAACTCTAATGTATTTAAAAAGTTCAACAATTCATGTTGAATTGAAACACGTCAATCAAATAATTATAATGCATTTATGTAGGAAATTCATTTTTCTTTTTATATAGAAATAATATATTAGGTTCAAATAACCCATGAGTACTTCATTGATATGGAGTTGAATCACATAATAAGTTGCAGTTTTGTTATGTATTTTCTAAAGGCTTTATACCAGTATGTAAACCGTTTAGAATGTTTCTCTATTTCATCACTTATCTATCTATAAAATGTACCGTATTGTAATACAAAGAAATTTTGATAGTTATTAATGTTTGAATTTAATACCATGACAAATATGCTCTTGAATCCATTCCTGTGTATTGTTGGCCATTTTCATTCATGGAACAGAAGATACATGGCTCATCCATAAAAATTACTTTCGCTGAAAAGTAATAATATTATATACAAACTAAGTATTTTGAGTCTGATTTAGGAAAACTATATGTATAAGTTCTTACCAGACCTCACTTAATTCATATCTTTCTGTTGACACAAAACATAAAACGTCTAAAAATTATTTACAGATACATGTTTTTAGATTGAATTTTATTTCCTACAATAAATCGATTTCAATTTCTTCCTCAATCTTTATTCTAAACATATTTAGTATCGGAAATACTAAACTCTTGATTTTAATAAATATTTAATGCACTTGATTATATACAGACGTAACTTATTATAAAAACATTACCTTATTTAATAAAACAACTGCATGAACAACAAACATAGCAGCAGGGCAAATTGAAACAAAAACTGCACTAACGGAGCCGTTCCATATCTGTATTGTAAACAGTTAGGTAACTCTGTCATGATAATAAAATGTTCAGATTTAAAATTTGAAAACTCTGTAATGATGGATGCCATACTCACTTTGTTCATTTAAAGGATAATTTTTACTGAGTGAAAAAACATCCGCTAAAAAGAGTTACAAAAACATACCTTACCTTGCTTATATACAATTGTCATGTAATTATTCATTTTCAAATATCTAGATCAATGACCTACATGCTTTTTATGTAGTGTTTCATAAGGTTTTAACACTAGGAATATTTTTTGTAATCTCAATATCATGAGTAACGAATCGTATTTGCTAACGAAATTGATAGTGCTGAAAACTGGTGCTAAAACGTAAGATATCGAATAAAAGGTTGTAAATATTCCAGTTCAAATGATTTCGGTTGTTTTTCTATTTTACCATTTTTTAATTATTATTTTAAACGTGTCAAATTAACGAGCTAAACAAGAACAACATATAAACAGCATGTGGGTGTTGATGCCTCGGTTTATATTGTTGATTCTTTTTGCAATCATAAAATGCAGTAAATAAATACCATTTATCTCATTTTTGTGAAACGAAAAGTTTCCCACGTCCATGGCTCCTTAATAAAGGAGTCATTCAAAAAAAACAAAAAAACAAAAAAAAAAAAAAAAAAAAAAAAAACAAGATTTTTTAAACATAAATATTCCGTCCATAAAACTCTTGATTTATCGACATTTAATCTGCTTTTTAATTGACATTTCCTCAATTTATGACTGAGCTGAAAGCGGAAATCATATATTTCAACCAGTAACATAGTAAATAAAGCAAATAAGCTTAACCACTAATGTTATGAAATATATAGAGATAACAAACAGCGTTTAAGGGGGCCGACTAGTGTTTTATTGCGTGAAAACTACAAAAGCGAAACTCTTTATTTGTAAACTATATATAACTTACATTGTCTCAAGTGCATATGCCAAGTTTGGGAAAATTTACGTTCAAGTATTTATAAGGGACCTTCTCAAAATACAGGTACATTTATATGATAGGATTATATAGGAAAGTGCCATTTTTGGCACTTTTCAGCAAATGATACAACTACTACAATAGACTTTTTGCTCAAATTATAATATATGATGAGTAACACTGCATTGTACATTATATGTAAGAAACAACAAACTCTACCGTCTTTTTTCCAGAGGGGACATCTCAAAATACCAAAAATTAACGAATTTTCTTTTTATAGTGTACTAAAATATGAAGCATACTAAAGATTTATACAAAAATAATGAAAATAGAGGGAAGATTCTCAAATTTCTATGTTTTAAATTTCAGCACCATATATATATTACTTTTTCTTTATAGCATTTTTATTACCCCTTCTTTAAGAGCCTCACGTTATCATAACTCGAAAACACAATCTTACAATCACTTGAAAAATCTTTTTAAAAATCAGATATATGAAATTGTAATTAAATTTTTCAACCAATAATTTCTTAATTTTATCATTTTTCTTTAATTAAGTGCAAAAATTGCTTATAAACTGTAAATAAGCTTCATTTTACTATGATGCGCAAAATATCGCGCAGTGGAAACTACAGTCGGTCCCCTTAAGCTTAAAAGTCCATTAAACAATACAAATCAGCAGAAAAAGCTCGGACCTATCAAAAATTAGAGGAGGGACCAGGGGACATAGAAGAGTGAACGTTCCCCACCGAGCGCTCAAAACCGTCGTATGCTCCTTGTATGATCGGAGGAAAACTGAAAAATCTGTCGACAAATCAGTTTATGAAAAATGACTTATTAAGCAGTATGAAAAAGGTCAGTCAGTATTTGTCTTTATGATACATTGTATCTGCTGAGGTCATTGTACTGACTATAAAACTTATGAAATAATGACTTTAAACGAGACTGTTGATTTTCTTGTTAATTTAGATTGTATGCAGGTGAAAGGATATATCGCTGTATAAGTAGGGGAGGTTGGCTATTGAAAGGATAAGGTCACCACGTTCACAATAAAGTTTTGTCGGTAGATTACCAAATGTTACAATATGAGACAGAGGAGTCTAACGTGGTATCTTTTATTTCAAGGTCAGTGGGAAAATCGTATCGACGTATGAATGGAAATAAACATTGAAAATTAACATAACGTCGTCTATATATCTAAATATTAATTTGGAGGACTGGTAATATAATTGTATTCTTATTTTAGGGCATGAAATTTTGAACAAATTTTGTTTTATTTAAAACAAAAAGGTCTGCAAATAACGGGTAGAGGTGGTACCCATTGGAACTCAAGCATTTTTAAAATATCAACTTCAGAGTACTTGACGTGTATAAAATCAGAATTTTTTGAATAGAATATATTGCAAGTGACCAATGACAAGGTAAGTAAATACTTTTCACAAGTTCAATTTTTATTGACCAGTCAGCTGTTTATGACGTAAAGATGGTAGAATTTTTAATGAATAGTGAGGTTATGCTGTATAAAAAGTTGAAATGTCTAATGATTCTTGTGATTTTTTTTCAATCTTTGCTTAACCCCACTTTCTGAATATATTGTTGCACAGTAAGCGTGAAGCTAGTGCCGGTTTAAGTGTGGTTTACAGAAGGTGACTTAGTAGAATTTTACTTGAACCTGAGGATCAGTATCTTTGTAGGTTGACAAAAACTTGATTTGGACTTTAACTCACTTTTTTATATTTTATAGTCTGAAGAACATGCAAATTCATGTACATGTAAAATGCAAGCAAGTAGGAACTTGAATGATAACGAATTCACATAATCAACGATAGGGTACATGTAACTTCTCTTTGGCGGTAGTGTTGGATTTCTCTTGAATTCGGTCCTTAAGTTTCTCTTTCTGTTAAAAGTATAGCAAATCTAAATTTCGCTTTTTCGTTTTAAAAGGGAATATTTTAATTTATGGTTTGATTGATTCTAACTGAATAGCAAGAGGGGGGTTGCACTTTCTTATACTTATATCAGTCCATGCAAAGGTTCTGATAAACGATTGTGACTTCCTTTGGACTATCTTTTTAAGCGCACAAATACTTATGGTTTTTTATGGATACCAAAAAAGTGTTTTCTATCAAAAAATAGTAATCGATTTGTAACTGAATTTGCCATAAACACTTCTTAAATATAAAAATTTAAGGCCTTTAATCTCGCCTACTACGATGATGTCATGGACTATAGCTAGTTTGACACGTAGCTTCATTGTATTTGAACCTTATACAGCTTCTCTTGTAGCAAGTTCTATGAAAAATTAAACAAGAATTATCCGACCAAAATGGAAACATTTTCTAGAATTATTGATCAGTCCTTTAAACTTAATAAATTGAAGATATGTAGATCTCATGAAAAGCTGCAGAAAGAAACACTTATACACAATAACGTACTAGAATAACGGGCACAGACCATGAAAATATCATTAATTCAACGAAATCCTCACCAAATATCTCAAAATGCATGAATACATGTACTCTTTAAACATGTGTGTTATCAACTAAGAATATTAGATTCTACTTTTACTCTGAAACGAAACTCCTTTTAGCTAGAGTTATAACACAACAGAAAGTTTAAATTCTGTATGGAGGTCACATTCGCGTGATATCTACAATATTTTTCATAAACATGGTGACTTTAACTTTTTAATCGCCAATTCACCTTACTTATGCAGTAATATACCTTTGTCACCTGCATACTGTTTATCCAGTTCACACTTGTTTATACACGCATCTCTCATTCATTCGTACGGAAGAGCATGTTCTATGTATGTATAATTTCTAAAACGAAGTAGGTTATTGAATAAAAGGTCAAATTATTGAGCAAGAATATCAACCGTCACGTTTACAGTTATCATTTCGTAAGTTTAATGGTCAATACAATACTTTGTCGGCAAAAGCAATTTATCATTATGTCAGATGCTGACAAACTTTTTTCATATTGACTGTTAGGCCATCATTAACACACTGAGTCATGTCAAAGGATTTTTCCTTTTTTATTTTCCTGAACATGACAAGGAGCACAGGGGGGTGTGACCGGTTGGTACAGGGTGTTAGTCTTCTATTTCACCTGATGTTTGGGATGACCGTATCTGCTCCGCTCAAATTTTGTAAAGTTTATAGGCTCGAATACTGTTCGTCATCTCCATATAAGATCAGTTGCCGTGGAGGAATTAGCATCCTCTACCCCACCGACCACAACCATTAGCTAGGTTTAGGACCTCCATAGAAAAAATGCCTTAAAATTATTGTGAGAAAATGAATATAGGGTTAGTAAATATAATCTTAAACAGCAAACGTTCTGATTATGCAAACGTTCTGATTATAAATGACTTACTTTTACTTGAGACGAGATCATTCACCGTAAAAGTGCTTGGAACAGCTTCCACATTCTGGGGGATTATATTGAGTTAGCCGTCTTTCGATAAACTTTCTTGATTGACATGATATGCAATAAAATAATGTTGAATTATGGGGAAAGTATCGTATAAGTAGAATTTTAGCGAGGATTTAATTTTGGCATTTTTAGCGAGGGTGCGAGATCGCTAAAATTGAATAACGCATTGCATTTTATTTGTAAAAGGTATTTACCAGCATTTTAAAATCGCTAAAATTACATCTCGCTAAAAATAAAATACCAGTTATTAAGGACAAATCGCCAAATTTGCCTCTCGCTAAAATTTCCCCTTATACGGTAATAAGGGACAAAA